AGCTTCTCTGGCCGGCTAACTCCCCTTGGTATATATTCCCTTTATTTCGGCCAATTTCTATTATTTTTCCAGCGATCCACGGTGCCTGGTAGAGGCTAGTCGGGGCGACAGTAAGCGCTAGCCATTACAGCCGGCGCCGCGGGAATGACACAGCGGTCCACCGGCGGGTACCCGTCGGGCTAGCCTGGGTGCCACCCCGCGCGCGAGTGTCTATCTCCTAAGTAAAAGTCATGGGAAACCATACTCCCGGCAGACCTACTTGGCACACCAGTGGGTCTAATTATCTCCTCGCGCATGAGGCGTTAGAGGGCTTCGCGTGGACGAAGTTTGGGTGGATAATGGTAGCGGACAAATACGGTTTCTCCCGAAATCTATCGCCAAATAAACGCCGGACTCTGGCACCCAGGGCGTGCTAACAGCAACACAACAACCCGCCCTAACCAGCGTGCCAGGCCCTGCAGCGTGCCTTTGCCGGTACTGTGGGGCCCAGTGGGGCCGGTAAAATTCGGTGGCCAGCTGGATACGCGCGCCAGGGGGCTGTTGTTGTTAGCGGGCCAGCTAGCTGAACCGGCCACACCAGCGGTACTTTCGTGGATTTGTTCCATTTGATTTCGAAGATGTTGAAAGAATAAATAATGGATAGAGATCAACTTCTTTTTGTCTTTTTTATTGTCTTCATCTTATGTAAACATAACTGCCTTCGTATTTCAGACAGCTTATGCATGAAATTCGCTTGTATTTATATTTTGAACATGTCTAGTTTTGACATATATCTGCTGGAGTACTCTGTATTGATAACTGTTAACGTGATGATAGCCGCCATCGTGAAACGCCTAATCTGCAGTACAGTAGCATATGCCTTCTGACTGGTTAAAAAAATGAAAACAAAGAAGAAATCATGTCAATGGAGCCCAAAATGGAAGATTTAAAAAATCCTGTCAATAGTGCCAAAAATGGCACTGCTGACAGGACGATCCTGTCAACAGTGTCAAAAATGGCATTGCTGACAGGACGATCCTGTCAGCAATGCAGTATTTCCTGTTATTGACAGGATCGTCCTAGTCAGCAGTACAGTATTTTCTGCTATTGACAGGATACGTCCTGTCAGCAGTGCAGTATTTTCTGCTATTGACAGGACGATCCTGTCAGCAGTGCAGTATTTCCTGCTGTTGACAGGACGATCCTGTCAATAGCCTCAGGCTAATTTTTATGGATGACGTGCATTAATTTTCGCCTGATTTGGGAAAAAAGAAAAAGAAATTTTGTTGCCTCCTGACAATGGGTAAAGATACGTCTTTTGCCATGCCAGAACGTGGATGACAGATAAATATGGAGAGAGGAGACAAGACAAGGCTCTGATTTGATGTTTTGTCTTTTACTTTGATGCAGTGATGTTTTTCATTCCTTTAATATGTGATAGTGGCTGTATATATGTGATGTTCCCACTGAATCAAAACCATTTGTACAATTGTTGAAAACTCTTATTTTTCAAATTCTTTTCAGTGACGGTTTGATGATGTCAAAATTAAAAAAAATGTGGGAACCTTGTTTTTTCGGCCCGCCTTGTTTTTTTCGCCTGCTCGCATTAGATTTGGAGTCTGCGTTGGATGTCAACCATAAAATTTACTTGCTGTGGCCTAACGTCCCTGACCCGATGACATTAGCCACACCCATGTAAAGACAGACTGGTAAACGGTTTAACAAATTTGCTTTTCTTCGCGCAAGAGACTTCAAGTGTCGACTGATTGTCGGCGGTTCAAGAGTTATTGCTAGAAGAACAAGCAATTAAAATACCTGTCCTGTTTTCACATCTTTACCTTAAGGGCCACCTTAATTACTATTTTTAGACGAACGCCTTGATAGATAAAAAGATAAATTTATGTGTAGATTTTGTTATTTCCCCTTCCTTTTGTTGTCTTATGACTGAATTTTTGTCTAAAATAATCCAGTTATCGGTTATATATTTTCTAAACCCTTTTGAAATTTACTACATTAATATTTATGACATAAGAATTGCTGAGGAAAAATGTGAATTGCTACATATATAACGTTATAGCATTTTTAACAACGTTTTCTTTGGTAACGTCCAATGTACCCTTAAAGTAGTGTCCTTTAATTTTGTTTTTCAAGTAGATCATTACTTAAAGCAATGACGCCATATTTTATTTATCTAGGGGCCATTTCCGTCGAAAGACACGGCATATCTCGATTTTTTGTCTATGAGGCACTACCCGCTACGCAACTACTATGATAAAGTCATAGTGCCCATTTTGTAGCGCGATTAAGTGCAAGTCAAACATATTTACGCCTCATACATTTTCCTCTAAAAGAGTCGTTGGTATGCCCAACTTGTCAAAGTCTTCTGTAAGTGAGACTAAGAACTATTGAAGTGATGCTAGTATGGCGTCAAACTTGATTTGTATTGTGATAATTGCACGGGCGAAGCGTTATTAGGTAGTATCAAGCCCCATATGCCCTTTTCAAACCCTATTGTATTCTGGGAGAAGCGGTGCACTATGGGTAGCTCAAGGGTAAAACAAAATCGTTACCATGACAACGTAGACGGACTGAGCACAGTACGCATGCGCCACATACGCGTTGTCATGGTAATGATATTGTTTGCCTCAGCGCTACCCATAGTGCCATTCGTTACCCAGCATGCAATGGAATCCGTTACCCAGCATGCAACGGTCCTTGTAGATTATTAGTTTTACAGTTATAGTATTATATCGGATTATAAACGTTAACGTTATGTATGGTACAATGTGTACCAAAGACGTCAACAAAATACTAGTATGCATCAACAAAACAACTTGTTGTTCCATGACAATTTGATATTTATCAAACAGATATCCCTTAATCAGCAAAACCGAGTCCTTAATGAGATCTAAGGCCATTTTCGTGTCTAACGTTCTAAGGTATCGAAGAATTTGATGACAACAGCAGTGATTATGGTAACTAGCGACACCTAGCATGAGATAGTGAAATACCAGCCGGCTTAAGGAACAATGGTGTTTCCATTTTTAGAATCCCTTTGGTAAACATAGATTTAATATATAGCGAGTAATGGGTGGATGGGATCATCATTAGCTGTAAAGTGATTTGATAAACTACTTATGTAAGTTCACCACATCGGGGTAGCTACTGGGCAATTATGCGGTACTGATGTCAAGGCACATTCTTGTCAAGACGTAGAATGTCCAGACTATGCATGATGTACAAAATGACTAATAAACTGGTGGACGAACCAACCCCTGATACCAGCCCAGAAAAGAACAAGAAACAACCATGCCTTCAAATATCAGAGTTATCAACCAAGGATTGAGGTGTTCAAAAACTCGTATTTCCCCAGAACTATTGTAGACTGGAACTCGTTACCACCAAGTACAGTTGGGGTATCATCACTAGAAAGCTTTAAACAACTCCTGCAATTAAATGTGCAAAGATTGATTGTAACAAGTCGTTCGGTGTGATATAGCTAGCTGCCGCCGCGCCGCGTGCCTGTGAAGCTGGTGTGTTACGCCGAAGGGCCGTTATACCGGCTATACAGATACAGATACCTGGATGTCTAACCTTTACCGACGTACATATCATATTATATTCCTGTTAGCTAGATATGAACAGTCAGTTATGTAATATTTGTCATGTTATTAAATGATGTTGCCTGGCAGCTGAGCTACCCATAGTGCATTGCGTCTCCCAGCATGCATTGGGCTCATTGAAGACCTATTTGCGGATCATGACAATGTAGGGCAAAAGGTTAATGACCCGGAATGACCTCTGAATGACCCAATGACACATCCGGATGACCCAATCACTCATCCACTTTTTGGTAATCCTCCTCCTATAGATATACACGTACGGTATTTGTATGCGGTACAAGGTATTTGTATTTGTATTCAGTGGCAATAATACAAGTCATTGCAAGGTATCAAAAATGTAACTCCACTAAGCAGTAACTTCAAAACCTAACATTGTAATGGTAGTTGACTTACTCTGTCCCTCGTACTAAAATTTAACCTAGAAACTGTTGCAGTCACCTGAGTTAAAAATGTAGGGTCACATTGACTCCTCCCCCTGTTACTATGGCAACGAGGTAAGGTCAGAAAAAAGGTAGGGTCGCCTTGACTCCTCCCCCTGTTACTATGGCAACGAGGTAAGGTCAGAAAAAAGGTAGGGTCACATTGACTCCTCCCCCTGTTACTATGGCAACGAGCGAAAAAGGTAAGGTCACCTTGATGACTCCTCCCCCTGTAACTATGGCGACGA